GGGGTATTTTCAATAATTTCTCTTTCTTTTTAAGTTCTAGTGGAATTTACTCTAGAATACAATTTATTGAAAGTATCATATTTTTACATTTTAACTATTTTTATTCTATAAATACTGAAATAGGTAAAAATGGTAAATCATAAATCACTTATATCTAACGTAAACTTGTTCATAGCTCACTTTTTCGTGTTTTCCTAAAATTTACGTTGACCTCGAATGTTGTACCCTCAAACGTGGGGATGTCAACGAACCGGCTCACGAGCCGAAACTCGAACCTCAGACTTGACTCGAGTAAAAATGATTCAAATTTTTTTTGACACGAGCCAAGCTTTTACTCGCCCAAAAAATCTAGGCTCTAACTGAAAATCAGCTTGTGTTTTTTTATTATTATAATGAAAAGGGGCAGCAGGCTCATGGCTGCCTGCAATAGCGGCTGCCAAAGTAGGCAGCAGGTGCTACCTACAATATAGATTTATATATATATATTTTTTTAATATAATGAAAAGAGGCCTCGTGGCAGCCTGTGCAAGGCAGCTACACGTAGCTACCAAGCGGGCAGCTTCTTCTGCATCAATATTTATATTTTAAAGTTTGCTCACTAGCTGGCTCAGGTTTAGACCGACACTCCAAAATGGGGCTTGGTGCCTGCTAGGGCTTTTTTTTGGGTCGAGAGTCACGGGCCTTCCGAACTGGCGAGCCAAATTGACACCCTTACCTCAACGTGGCCAATAGATCTCAAGGCCTCTCGCGTCCATGCAAATCTGATTCTTGTACGCTGGGACTAGTCGTTAGCCACACATGGCTTTCTCCAATGGTGGTGAAGTTGGTCGCGTGCACTTCAACGGTCAAGTCAGTTAAAGTATTATGTATGAGTGTGAGATGTACTTTAGACGCGAGCCTCCAATACAAAAGGGGGCCGGCTTTGGGGAAATTTTGATGATAACAATAAGGATAACACAAAGTTGTAGTTTGAAAGTTTAAACTTGTATTACCTTTGGAATGACATCTTGTGTAAGCTTTTATAGTAGAATAGAATTAATATTGGCTATGTGATGAAAATATGTGTGGCTTCATCCACACCGTTGAGGCCTCTTGTCAATGGCATGAATCAATCAATCATATAAGCATTTAATGTTAATACCATTTTGTTGTCCATAATTCTGACAAAATGCTGACTTGACATAATTGGCTAGGAAGGACGGTGAAAGTAGTGAATTGTCACATCAATCACTTATTAAAAGTTGCATATAAGATCCATTACCCGACCCCCTTACAGCATTTCCCGCTATGAGGGTTTAGTTTTATGTAAGGATTCGACTCCAGCCAAATGGGTTCGGCTTCCCTTACCAATTTGGCCTCTTCATAGGGGTTCGGCAAACTGCCTTCAGTAGAATGACGTGGAGTGCAAGGCCAGGTTTCACACCGTGCAGCAGTAGTCTGCTCCGCTAGACTACCTTCCGCCTTCTCTCAGGTCGTTTCGGGACGAAAAGAAATTTGATTACAATTCAAAGAAAGTTTGCAGCATAAAATGGAAATACATTGAACATGACTTGATCATTGATTGCTAGAAAGCTTGAAATTACAATTGACTGAAAGCAGGAAATTACAATGGCTAGTGCAGGGGGCGAACACTAGAAAAGCTTGAAAGATGTTTGAAAGTCATATACCCCATATAATAGATTTAGCAACAAAAATCCAAATGACACCAGTAGACGTCTTTTGGCTGAGGAATCATACTAAAATTTTCTAATTTACAACTATTTTACAATTAAATGAAATATTTACAATG